TGTTCTTTGTGGGGTGTTTGCCTTGCACGCGGCCCACCCGGGTTCGATTCCTCCGTCTGTCTTGGAGAGCCCCGCAAGCTACCAAGAGTATACTGCCCACACAGCAGAGCCTGGCAAGCTCCCTGTGACATATTCGATATGCCAAAAACAATAACAAGTCTCACAATGGAGACGTTACTGGTTTCCGCTCAAGCAAATCGATGGACAACAGGAAGAGAGTGCTACAGTGCTATCTAATTTTAAATAAATCTAAATTTAAATACATGTGGCTAATTGCTATCTTATTGGTTAGAGCAGTTGCAGAAGACAGAACAATAGGTCACGGATATCTATTTGGTATGAGTATTTCATTATCACCTTGAAAATTTTAAAAAATCTATCTTTTAAGCCTGCTAATGCCTTAATAAAATAGTTAAATGACATGAAAATACTGTTATTGGATATTACTGGGGGGATGGTGAGTTTTGAGCCACACCTAACAGTCCTTTGGACTGTTTTGTGTGTCTGTGCTCAGGGCACTATATGCAGTTCTGGGGATCTAACTTGGCCGGGTGCATTGTTCTTGAACTTTTTAACTAACATAAACTTTATTTTATTTGGTTTTGAAACAATGCTCAATTCAAAATTTAAGCCAATATATTGGCTAAAATTGAAATATGAAAGCAAACTGTACAGATAAAATAAAAAATATGTACCATTTTTTTCAGGTGTATCATAATCATAAATTAAATAATTGGATCTTAAAGTAAAGATCTTAAGAGAACTTAAATGCTTTTATACTATGGTAGTTTAGCTTTCCCTTATGCAATATATTTTTAATATATTTTATACTTTATAATTGCACTATTACCTCTTAGTAAAGTATTTTCCTGGGCTGGAGAGATAGTACAGTGGGTAAGGTACTTGCCTTGCACGTGGCCAAACCAGGTTTGATCCCTGGTATCCAATGTAGTGCTCCTAGTACTCAGAGGAGTCATTCCTGATTGATGAGCTAGGATAACCCCTGATTATTGCCAAAGAAGAAATATTTTCTTAATATAAACCTTATAGGACTAAAACCACCAATAAATACTACTATAATCCCCCCATTAGAATTTAGTTTCCATCACATTATTATCCACTTTATCTCCAATATATTGAAGAGTGTATTAATTATGTAAACCAATCAAGATTGACCACGAAGAATTAAAAAAATAATTTCAAGTGCACTGAATTATTCCTAATTGCAATTTAGAAACTATTTTTCACCCATTAATAAGGTATTCTTGATTTAAATCTTCCTTAAGTCCTAGGAGCTGAAGATATAGTAAAGAGGACTTGCATTGCACATGGCTGATTTGATCCCAGACAGCATATACAGTTCCCTGTATCAGCTAGGGGTGTTCCTTGAGCACAGAACCAGGAGTCAGTTATGAGCACCGCTGGCTGTGCCTCCCCCAATGCCTTGTGAAATGCTATTGCAGAAGAAAATTGCCAATAAATTTATATATATGTCTAACTACAATGATAAATATAATACACATTTATGTTTGATTATCATTGAAAAAATTTTGTCTCAATATATTTATCTGGAGAAGCCCTGAAGAATAGCTCAGTGGCTTAGAATACTTCTCTCCTTGTGATTGTGAGTCTTAAAATCTCCTATATGCTTCTACATATGTAAAATATGATGCTGGTAGTTCACCCATAAATTGTTTTTTTCCAAAATTTTATTTCATTAAAGTACATTGAGTTACACAGTTATTCAAGATTGGGCTTTTTGATACATAATGTTTCATCACCAGCCCACAACCCTTAAAATTGAGCTACCCTATTACCCAGCAATTCCACATTTGGGTATCTAGGCCCCTTCCAGGACAGAAAAACATTGATTCAAAAGAATGTATGCACACCACTATTCATTGTATCACTCTGTACAATAGAATATTTGGAAATAGCCTAATACTCAACTGATCAGTATATCATGAAGATGTGGTAAATATACACAATGGAATATTATACAGCTGTAAGGAATGATTAAATCATACAATTTGCTGCAACATAAATGGAACTGGAAGATACCTTGTTTTTGATTGGTGGGGTGGTTCATACCCAGCAGTACTCAGGGCTTATTCTTGACTCAGTGCTCAGGGATAACTCCTAGTATACCATTTACTATCCCTAATGTTACAGTTGATTTCCAGCCATATTGCAGCCATGTAAGTTTGTTAGCACCACGGCAAAGAGATAAACCCCTCAATGAGCACCACAACTAAGCACCACAATCAGGAATTAAGATTGCTGGTATTTGTGTAAAGACTGTACTAATTCCTATTGGGAATATCTATCAGATTGTGTGTGAGAAATAAAATTAAATTAAAGAGTATAACTCTAAGCTAGCATGCATGCAAGCACTACAAGTAAAGGAGTGCAATCCTTCACTTGCACCTTGAACAAGTGTACTAGCACTACAACCTGATATGTGACCCTGGGGAAAAATGTGTGCACACCATAACAAGGCATGTATGTGAACCCTGGTTGTTGCAACAATAACATCAATAGCAAGGCAAAAGTGGAGAAGAAAATAAAATGATTTGTTTAAAGAAAATATTACAGTTTGCTAATTTTCATAATAATACAGATTTAACATGAAAAAGTATTTAATTTGAAATATACTTTATTCAAACATTGTCCTTTAAGTGATACTTATTTTTGGTGTATGAGTTAAAAACAATAATATAAAATTGCTTAGCTCATATAATTAAAAATTAATTTTTTTAACATTTTATATATTCATTTATTAGTGAAACACCATGAGGTACAGTTGTAGACAAACATCTTTTGTGTTTGGGTTTCAGTTATACAATGATCAAGTACCCATCACTCCACCAGTGCCCATTCTCCACCACCAATGAGCCCAGTAGCCCTCCCACCTCCCATTACCCTCACTCCGCCCCACCTCTATGGCAGGGTATTACCTTTTGCTCTCTCTTTCCTTTAGGGTATTGTGGTTTGCAATAGAATTATTGAGTGACCATCGTGTTCAGTCTATAGTCTACTTTCAGTGTGGGTCTCGCATCCTGAGCGAGTCCTCCAAACATCCTTTACTTGGTGTTCCCTTCTCTACCTGAGCTACATTTCCCCCCAGCATGTGCTTCCGGCTACCAAGCCATTGAGCAGACCTCCTGGTACTTATCTCAACTATTCTTGGGTCTTCGTCTCCCATTCTGTTACTTTATATTCCCCAGATGAGTGCAGTCTTTCTATGTCAGTCCCTCTCTTTCTGGCTCATTTCACTTAGCATGATACTTTCCATGTAGAACCACTTGTTTGCAAATTTCATGACTTCATCCTTTCTAACTGCTGCATAGTATTCCATTGTGTAGATGTACCAAAGTTTCTTTAACCAGTCATCTGTTCTTGGGCACTCTGGTTTTTCTAGATTTTGCCTATTGTGAACAGTGCAGCAATAAACATGCAAGTGCAAATGTCATTTTGACTGTATTTTGTGCCTCTCTGGGATATATTACCAGGAGTGATTTTGCTGGGTCAAATGGGAACTCAATTTCTAATTTTTTGGAATCGTCCATACTGTTTCCCAAAAGGGCTGAACCATTGGGCATTCCCACCAGCAGTGAACGAGGTTCCCTTTCTTGCCATATCCGCCCCAACACCATTTGCATTTTTTTTTTGGATGTGGGTTAGTCTCTGTCATGTGAGATGCTATATTATTGTTGTTTATATCTGCATCTCCTTGATGATTATTGATGCAGAGCATTTTCTCATGTGCCTTTTTGCCATTCGGATTTATTCTTTGAGAAAGTTTCTGTTAATTTTGTCAACCCATTTTTGATGGGGTTGGATGTGTTTTTCTTGTGGCGTTCAACCTGTACTTTGTATATCCTTGATAGCAACCCCTTATAGAATGGGTATTGGGTGAATATCCTTTCCCATTCTGTAGATTGTGTTTGTATTTTGGTCACTGTATCTTTTGCGGTGCAGAGGCTTCTTAGTTTAATATAGTCCCATTTGTTTATCTCTGTTTCCACTTGGTGGTCAGTGGCATGTCATCTTTGAAGATACCATTAGCCTCAATATCGTGGAGGATTTTGCCAACCTTGTCTTCAATATACCTTATGGATTCTGGTCTGATGTTGAGGTCTTTAATGCATTTTGGTCTGCCTTTTGTGCATGGTGGTAAATCAAGGTCTAAGCCCATTTTTTGCATGTGGTTGTCTAGTTATGCCAGCACCATTTGTTAAAGAGGCTTTTGTTGCTCCGCTTCACATTTCTTGCTCCCTTATCAAAGATTAGATGTTCATACATTTGGGGTTGTGTGTAGGGATATTCCACCCAGTTTCATTGGTCTTTGGCTCTGCCTTTATTCCAGTAACATGCCGTTTTAATTGTTAATGCTTTGTAGTAGAGTTTGAGGTTGGGGAAGATGATGCCTCCCATTGTCTTTTCCCAAGAATTGCTTTAGCTATTAGTGAGCGTTTGTTGTTCCAAATGAATTTTAGGAGTGCTTGATCCTTATAGGGATCACATTGAATCTTTATAGTGCCTATAGTACTACCCAAAGTACTGCCATTTTGACAATGTTAATTTTTCTTATCCATGAGCAGGGGATATGTTTCCATTTCCTCATATCCTCTTTTATTTCGTGGAGTAGTGTTTCATAGTTTTCTTTGTAGAGTTCCTTTACCTTCTTAGTTAGGTTGATTCCAAGGTACTTGGTTTTCTGGGGCACAATTGTTAACGGGATTCCTTTTTTCATGTCTCTTTTTTTCTGTGTCATTATTTTCATATAGAAAGGTCATGGATTTTTGGGTATTGATTTTATAACCTGCTACTTTACTGTTCAAGTCTATTATTTCTAGGAGTTTCTTGGTAGAGGCTTTAGGATTCTCTAGATATAGTATCATATCATCTGCGAATAATGAGATCTTGATTTCTCCCTTTCCTATCTGGATGCCCTTAATATTTTTTTCTTGCCTAACTGCTATTGCAAGTACTTCAGTAAATATACGGAATGCTTCATGAATTTGCATGTCATCCTTGAGCAGGGGCCATACTAATCTTCTCTGTATCGTTCCAATATTAGTATCTGTGCTGCTGAAGTGAGCACAGCTCATATAATTTTTAAATCAGATAAAAACTAGTTATCTTAATATTTCTCAAATGCTATCTAAAATTTCATAATAAACATCGAATTGTATTAATATTAAAATTCTGAATTTGAATAAAGATGTTGTTCTATGCATGCCCCAAATCCAAAAATTGGTATAAATATCTTTAAGCAATTCATGAGATAATAGGTATATTTTAATATGATACAAAATTATTTAATAGATAAGTATGGAACATGCTACATCTTATGGCAGAACACATAAATGAGAGATAAATAACTGCTTCTAGTCACATATAAGCAAGCGTTATGTTATAGAATATATTGGTGAATTCATACAAATGTTGTTAGTGTGCATACTATGTGTAGAGAATACAATTTAAGGTATAGAAATCATCCATGTACTAGGAATCTTTTAAAATTTTTAATTATTGTAATTTAAGTAAAATATGTACAATAATGCTAACATTTATGATTTTTACATATAACTTTTTAATATAGGACATATTCACTTGTTTGAGATAACGTCTCATTATAGTTCTGATATTCTTTCTCTAAGTGGTGATAAAAACGTTTTCATGACTAGTGATTGCCTGTATGTCCTCTCCCCATTTTTTCTTTGGAAGTTTTTTTAAATTTATTTTACCTTACTTAGCGATAGCACAGCGGTAGGGCGTTTGCCTTGCACGCAGCCAACATGGCCGACCCGAGTTCGATTCCTGCACCCCTCTCGGAGAGCCCGGCAAGCTACCGAGAATATCTTGCCCACACGGCAGAGCCTGGCAAGCTCCCCGTGACGTATTCGATATGCCAAACACAGTAACAACAAAGTCTCCAATGGAGATGTTACTGGGCCCGCTCGAGCAAATCGATGAACAATGGGAGGGCCTTTACCTTACTTAAACACTGACTTTCATCTTTCACTTTGATATGTGGGTGTTGCTGTCGGGGCTTCCAGGAGATGGGGGCTGGGGTGAGGCACTGCTCCTGTTCTGAGACAACCCCAGAGTTTTCAATCTGAAAACGGGTGTACCTGAAATTTTCATAGGATTGGTGTCTCTGCAGAGGTTAGTAATGAAGCATTGGAGTTAGGCTTTCATCACAAAGACACCTGTGAGATGTGGGTATATATTTCAGCCTATCTCTCTCCCAACGCCACCACAGAGTTTTCAGCTGGGAGACTGGTATACCCTTGAATTTTAGCAGCTTGGCTTGCATCTCTTCTGAGGTTTAGCCATGAATCTGCAGAGCTGGACCTGTGGATGAGTTTACATGAAGGTGACTATGGGATGTGGGAGAGATCACCTGGACTTCCTGAAGCAAGGGGGCTGGGTGGGGAGTAGGGGGTGGGAGGTTTCCCAACTCCCACTCTGAAAAGTCTCAGAGATCTCAGCCTGAAAACTGGTGTATCTTGAATCTTCACTGGTTTGTTATCTCTGCAGAGATTAGTTACGGAGTTGAATTAATAGAAAGTGTTAGAAATTATTCCTGTTTTTTTTTCAATATTTTGGAAGAACTTGAGGATTGCCAGTAATACTTCGAAATTTTGTAGAATTGGCTGCTATACTCATATGGACAGCAGATGTTTTTCTTGGAATATTTTTATTTTAAAATTCTTGTTAAGTTTAATTTTAAAAAATTGTTACTTTTAGTTTAGGTAAGAGAGTTATAATATTGTTAAAGTATTGAAGTACAAAATCATCCCCCCCACATTTCTAAGACCTACTACAGCTATCAATATATCAGTTCTAGTCCAATCTTTATTCGTACTTCCCTCCTCCTCTGCTGGTACTTGGTATTTAGTCCAAAGCTAAATCATTACGTGATAGTGTCTATTCTATTGGTTTTTTTCTCTATATATTTAACAAATGAGTGATGTCTGGTATTTGTTGTTCTTCCTTTTAGTCTACTTAATATGATACCGTCCAGTTCCAAATATTTTGTAGCAAACTCATGATTATTTTTATTATTTTATTATAGCTACATTGTATTTCATTGTGCTTATATGCCATGACTTCTGTATCCATTCATTTGTTATTAGAGATTTTGGGATGTTTTCATATCCTGTCTACTGTACTTAGCACTGAAATGAATACAGACATGCATGCATCTTTCCAAATTAGTGTTTTTGCATTTTGTGACTAGATGCTCCAAGTGGAATTGCTGGATCATAAAAAATTTCTATTTATATTTTTATGAGAAATTTCTATATTGTTTTTTATCTAAATTAAGAGACTGAATTAGATGATATCACTACAAATAGTGGTTAAGGGTTTCTTTTCCTCTACATTCCTCCAGCATTGATGGTTTCCAATCTTTCTGATATACGACATTCACACAGGCTTGAAATGATTTCTCATTCTTGTTTCATTTCGTTGGTTTTTGGGTCACACCTGACAGTGTTCAGGACTTATTCTGGCTCTGTGCTCAAGGATACTCCTGGCAGTTCTGAGGAGACTGTATGCAATGTCATGGGTGAAACCAAATTTGGGCACATGCAAGGCAAGCATCTAAACCTCTATATTATTGATCTGACCCTCTGTGTTGTATTTATTTGCATTTCCTTTATCGCCATTGATAATAAACACTTTTGCATATGCCTATTAGACATTTTTCTGCTTTCTTCAGAGAAATGCTTTCTCTCCCCATTTTTTATGGTCTAATTATTTTGGGGGTTGAGGTTTGTGAGTATGTTTCATTTGAGGATATTAGCCTTTTACGTGATGTATTGTGTGAAAATATTTTCTCCTATTCAGTAGGATATATTTATGTTAGCCTTAGTTTTTTTGTTTGACATAAAAATGGATTTGATATAGTATCATTTTTTTAGTTTTGTTTTGTTGTCTGTCCCTCTGGAATCAAATCACACATCTGAGGTTCTTGGGGAGGTTTTAAATTGCTATTTCAATTCACTCTTGATTGGTGTATTTGACTGTTGGACTTTCTTCTGACTTGGTCCTGAAAAGATGTGTGATTTTCAGAATTCATCAATTTCTCTTTGATTCCCAGCATAATGGCGTACACTTTCTCGTAGAAACCACTTACAATCCTTTGTATTCCTGTGGTGTCTGTTGTAATTTGCCTCCTTTCATATCTGATCCAGTTTATTTGGGTTCTCTCTCTTGTTCTTCATGATTATCTGCTTTGCAATTCTATTTATTCTCTCCGAAAGATAGCTTGTGACTTCATTGACCCTCTGTATTATTTTCTTGATTTCTGTGCCATTAATTTATTCTCTAATTTTGAAAATTCCCTTCCTTCTACTCACTAAGGATTCATTTGTTGTTCTTTTTCTGGTTTTTTACTGTTGGATAGGGGTGAAATTATTAATTCGAACACTTTCTGTTTCACTGATGTAAGCCTAAATTGTGACGAACTTTCTCCTTAGCATTGCTTTTGCTATAACATATAGGTTTTGGGTAATTTGAGTCCTTATTCTCTGTTTTGCAGAACTTTTTAGTTCTTTTTTGATTTGCTCTTTGATATAGTGGTTATTTAGCAATATTATCTTTAGTTTCCAAGTATAGTAATCTTTCCCAATTTAAAAAAATGGTTTATTTCTATCTTCAGAGCAACGTGGGTCTACAAAGATAATTGATGTGATTTTTATTTCCATGAATTTATGTTTACTCAAGTTGTCTCCCAATATGTGATCTATTCTGGAGAATGTTTCATGTCCACTGGAAATATTATGTTTTAGACATTTTGTGTGTGAAGAGTATTGTTTATATATTTTCTTTTCATGGTCAAATTAATTTTTTATTTTTTACTTTTATAAACATTTTTATTGAATCACTGTGAGATAGAACCTTACAAAGTTGTTCATGATTGGATTTCAGTCATAAAGAATTCCAGCACCAATCCTTCCACCAGTATACATTTTCCATTACCAGTGTCCCCAGATTCCCTCACATCACCCCCCAAGCCCCCCACCCCTGCCTGCCATTATGGCAGGCACTTTAATTCTTTCTCTCTATCTCTCTCTCTCTCTCTCTCTCTCTCTCTCTCTCTCTCTCTCTCTCTCTTCTTCTTCTTCTTCTTCTTCTTGTCATTGTGGTTTGCAATATTGATACTGAAAACTTTCAGTATCAATATTGTTTATATATTTTTATTCAAATTCTTCTCACTTAATCACTTAATCACTTAACTTCCCGTTAGTCGTCGATTTGCTCGAGCGGGCGCCAGTAACGTCTCCATTTGTCCCTGTCGCGTGCTAGTGTAGCCCAATGGCATCTCTTCGCTCCGGGAACATGGAGGGCCTCAAACCGATCGTTCATGATCTTGACAAAGAAGTCTGACCATCTGGTAGGTGGGCGGCCACGCGGTCTCTTGACATCCCGTGGAATCCAATCAGTAACAGTTCTAGTCCAACGGTCGTCTTTAAATCTCATTACGTGACCAGCCCATCTGATTTTCGACACCTTGGCATATGAGACAGCGTCCCTGATCCTTGATCGTCGACGGATGTCAGAACTCCGGATTCGTTCTCTCATTTGAGTGAAACGTGATATTCCAAAATTCTTCTCATATAGTACTTTTTTTTTTAAATTGATATTCTACCTGGTCAACCTGTGTAATGATCACATTGGAGCTTTATTTTTCTTTGTAGTCACTGTAATTATGTTGTCGTTTATCCTTCTCCTGAAGTCTATTATCAGTTGCTTTATAAACTTTTTTGCCCCATGATTTGATGTTGATAAGGACCTTTTGAGGGTTTCTTACCAGAAACAAAGAGGGGGAGAGCTAGGTCAGTAGCTTTATCTGGGTGGATACTGGGCCACGTTTTCTTCACAGGCACCTTGTGAGCTCACAGTAGGAGAACTATAGTGTGGAAAGATCAACTTAGATCTCAATCAGGGTAGAAGTATAAGAAAAAATAACTTATAGTTCAAAAGTGGTTGAATGCCCATAACTATGAATTTTTAATGTTGTCTTCTAAGCTTTTTGTTACCTACTACTACGATAGTTTCCCTCCCTTAATCTTATTCATTTCTCTCCCT